ATATGAAGATCAACCACTCCATTATCACCTGAGTCTTTATCACTCACGCTAACTACAGCTATCACTGTGTCTAACTGGATGTTTTCACTTACTGGACTCTGAAATGATTTAATTGATAATTCTGGGTGGTTGTCATTCATGTCCTCCACAATAATTTTTATTTTACATTGTCCTGATAGTGCACTTTGGCCTTTATCTGTTGCAATCACTTCCATGTCATATATTCTAAAATCTTCATAATTGAGCACGTCTTTAACAGTAATTTCACCTGTTGTAGGGTTTAAATTAAACGTTTCCTGCGTTTTTTCTGATGTGTACAGACTATATGTATAAATTATGTCCGAATTCGAACCCTCGTCTAAATCTGTGGCATTAAGATCAATAACAATACTTCCAATCGGAGAATTTTCTAAGACACTGACGTCATAGCTTTCCTTTTCAAATGCAGGGGAGTTGTCATTTGTATCTAAAACATGAACTATGATGCTGGCTGTTCCAGACCGGGAGGGTGCGCCTCCATCTACAGCTGTTATTATTAAATGATGGACCGCGTGCTGCTCTCGGTCCAAACTTTTTTTCAGGATCAAGTCGGCAAATTTAGATCCATCTCTCCCCGTTTGAACTTCTAACGTAAAATAATCACTTTCGCTCAGTTGATATCCTTTGACAGAATTAGAGCCAACGTCCGGGTCCACTGCATTGCTCACAGAAAACCGCTCACCAGCCTGCGTCGCCTCCGATATGTCCAAATCTATCATGTCCCTCCTGAAATGAGGTGCGTTGTCATTTATATCCAATATTTCCAGCTCGATGTAGAAAATTCGTTTGGGGTTTTCGATTATTGCCTCCATTTTTAGGTAACAGGATGTCTTCGCGGTGCACAGAGATTCTCTGTCAATCCGCTCGACAATGAACAGCTCTCCCGTTCCTTTGTTCACGTCCAGATATTTCCGACTGGCGATGATCTCTATGCGCATTTTACGCTCGATCAGTGTCTTCACGTCTAGTCCCAAATCTCCTGCAAGATTTGCTACAACAGAACCTTCTTCGAGTTCTTCAGGTACCGAATAGTGTGTCACGGCTAAAGCAGAGTTGAATGTGACAACGTAGAGAAGAATCGTTAGGACGTACCTTTCCCTGCGTTCGGGGAGGATAAAACCCGCCATGGTTTCCACTGAGCTTTGCCTTCTTCTGTTTTATGGCTTTTTTTTTTTTTTTTGCGAGATTTTTATAAACAAAAGCTGAGAATAGCTTACAAAACGTCCTATGCAGGTAAACGGATAGGAATTCCAAATGTATTCAGCACCGGGAGCTGTCCACCCGCTGTTCTCTCTCCTTCAGTGAATACAGAAATGGCGATCATGATGTCACAGATACAAAGATTAGGACTGGAGAACAGCGCCTCAGTGTGCAAGAAATCCACCAAATAATCACAAGTTGTATTAATGTTGCAATAATAATAATACCTGAAAGTAAATAAGTGCAGTAGAAAAAATACAAGTGTTATCTCAAACTGTTAATAGAAATGTCAGCAAGAATAAGATTGTTATTCTCATATTAGCTGTGACAAAAGAGTGAAAATAGATATGTTTTATGTTTGTTCCCAACATTAAGAATGTTGTTAGATTTCAAAAATACTGAAGAGAAATAGAAAATAACTGAGAAAAGAAAAAAGTTAATAAACATAAATAGTTTGGGGTAAATCTACATTTTGAGAAAAGATCAAAAACACTGGACAGTTAAAATATCAACATATCAATATCATCTAATATATCCATTAAACTTAATGTAATGAGTAGGAGCTATTTGTCTATTTTTTGTTAAATCTTTGAATTTAGTTTATAATTAACTTATTTTTGTTTGATTTAAATTAGTTTTTTTATTATTATTATTGTTTTATTATGTGTTAAGTTTATATATTTGTTTATGATTGGGATGCGGGCACATTATAAATACGTAGGATTTAGGGAGGTTTAAAGGCACGTGGGTGGTCATATGGTTTGTGACCAGTTGGAGGTGGAGCAACAAGCTTGGCATGCAGGATCAAAAGCAGGTGTGTTAGAAAGGGATCATATGATATGTATGAAACTGTTTGGCAGCCAACGGGAAATAAACTTGCCATAAGCTGCATATGGACTTTATCCTTTCTACTGCATAAACCAAAACCCACAGAGCAACAAGTGACTGAGTTACATTTGCCTTCTGTTTGTTTGGTTTGTTTTTGGTTTGCAAGGACAAATAGTCAATACAGGTATGTTTGTTTGAGGGGATACTATATAAATACACACATGCACGCACACACACACAATTAAAAATGTATATTAGTTTTAAGCATTTGAGCTTGGTGACAGCGCGAGTATTAAAAATAAAGTATCATCTAGAATATCTCACCTGCAGAGTAGAAGCAGCTGAGTCGCTGGTCTCTGACAGTCCTGTCCCTCTGGG